TGAGGTCAGGACATTCAGGGAGAATTCGCGAAAATCATCGGCACAAGGAATTGAAGGGATTAAATTTTAAATGAATTGCAAAATCACCGTCAGCTTTATTATTAATTTTTTTGGAAAAAAACATAACACAATAATCATATTCACCATTTTAAATCCACTCATGTAATAGTGTCTAACTCACACTGCAAAATGTTTGGAAGCCTCAATTACAGAATAGGATTCGACATCAGAGTCGGTGGGTCTGTAGTGCTCAGAGTTATCATGAGAGATTCAGTTTTCAGATTGCTTCATGGATGATGTTTGCTCGGAAAAGTCCCAATTAACTAAACGATCGACTTAATTTCCTAGAGGGGGGGGGGGGGGGTTTGGAGAAGATCGTAAATTGTGAATCATTTTAAAACGGTCGAATTTCCTCCAGAGTTCAAGTGGGACTGAAACCACTGCGTTCTTAAGGCCCAACTTTTTGAAACATACTTTGGCATAGCGCGTGAAAGAGGACTGATTTAGTTAATCAATAGGGAATATTGATTTATTTCAGCTTGTTGTTTATCAATCTTCCATTTTCGTTTTGCACAGAAAAACGGAATAACGTGTTACCTTATTACAGGATTTTATTGGGTGCGCGACAGACTTACCTCCACGTGGTGCACACTAGACAACGTATACCCGTACGACAAAAAAGTCCATAAACCGGTAGTTGACTTCAAACTACCATGACCCCAGTGTATGTCATATTCGATCACTTTCATAGTTCACAACTTATCTTTTTCTCTACCTTTGTGTTTGTCTATCTGTCTCTTTCACATCTGTGAATCATTCTTCTGTCCCCTCCCCCCTCTCTCCATCCTCTCGACTCTTTGTGAGACTTTGATGTTCCTTCCTCTGCCACGTCCGAAGTCAACTAAAGGATTAATGATGACTTTCATATAACCTGCTATTCGATATATAAATTTTATGATTCCTCATATTGTTATGTGATCAGAAATCGAACTTTCCTTTATGGGGTGTGCGATAGAGTTACCTCCGGGCAACGTATACTCATACGACAAAAAAGTTGACTTATGACATCAAACTACCATCACCCACACTGTCTGTCATATTCGACCACTTTCACAGTACTCATCTCACCTTTTCTCTGCTCTTTTGTCTGTCTCTGTCACATCTGTGAATCATTATTCTGTCCCCCCCTTCTCGACTTTTTGTCACTTTGATGTTCCTCCTCCTCTCTGTGAAGCCTGAATTCGGCTAAATGGCTAATGATAACTATCAAAACGCCTGGATTTGAACTAAATGAATATAACTTTTCATTATTTTTCTTAAAATGTTTACCCAAGAATTGCTTTAAGGAAGGCCTTCTAACCTAGATATTTAATAATACTGATCACTCTAACGAAAGGAGATGACGTAATTTAAGAGGGAGAAAATTATTTTAGTTAGTGTGTCAGTTTCATTGGAGGAATTGCGCTACTATGTTCTATTTTTAAAATAAAGATTTAGCAAAAGAAAATAAAGTGATAAATTACTTCTGCTTAAAAAAATTCGTTGTTTTTTTATGCGATGACGCTGACCTCTCTGGGCAGTGAATCACAATTTCAACCCTAATCAGCAAGTGGCTCGCTCCCCTTGGGAATTTCTAGGGCAATGATTCATCCAACATGATCGAATTTGCCCAAAGGGTGAACTGCGTTGCACTTTTTACAACTTTGCTCTACTTTGTCCTTTAGCAGGGAAAAAAGCAGGAAAATCATTTTAGAGAGATAAATTGGCTGTTTCACATTGTTGAGTTTAGTGCTGACCATGTTGTCAATAGGAACATGATATCAAATCTCAAATTAGATCGCTTGTCAAACATTTTTCCCCGCCAATCTAAACACACTCATCTTGGACTATAATACTCCGAGCACAAATTGAACCAGACTTTAAGAATGGCCCTCATAAACGAATCTTAAACATTATTTATTTATATCAAATGGCAGGCGCTTTGGTAGTCATCATTAGCCCTTTAGTTGACTTCAGGCTTCACAGAGGGGAAGGAACATCGAAGTGAAAACGTCGAAGGGGGGGGGGCAGAAGAGTGTTTCAAAGATGTAAAAGAGACTGACACAAAGTTGGGAAAAAGGTGAGGTGAGTACGGTTGAAGTAATTGAATTTGAGATACAGTGGGGTGATGGTAGTTTGGAGTCTGAAGTAAACTGTCGGTTAATGGACTTTTTTGCCGTACAAAGATACGTTGCCCAGGGTGGACCACGTGGAGGTGAGTCTATCCCACATCCCATAAATAAATAAACTTCTACCAACTAAGAAGAATGGGAAGAGGAGAAAATAACAAAAATTTCTCAGGTCCAAACATTTTCAAGCAACAATTTCAAGCTATTTGGGTAATGAAGCCAAATCCAATTAAACTTCCAACAACCTGCTGAATTTCAGACTCTGAAGAATAGTAGCCATTGGATAGAGAGATACTGCAACGATGATTCATCTACGTTAAAGACGAAAAGAAGAAGCAGAAGTCTTCCGATCAGGCAATCTGGAAGTCCCTATTGAAGTTCTGTTCGTCGAAGGTAATCCAGACTCTGGAAGGAGGAGAAAGAAGCTACATTAACCACTCTCTAAAACTTCGGTTATTCACAGAAGACAAGTCAAGCGAAATCGGAGAACAAAGGAATCTGAAGTGTCAACTCCATCAAACCCATCATTACTGCCAAGAACATCACCACGCCACTTCACCGCACTTGGTTGACCAACTAATTTTTGCTCTCGAAAGCCACAAAATGGCTCAACAAGAAGGCCCTCTAAAGCAGTCAAGTCTTCAACGTCCATCCCACCAGCCAAGGCTCGTATGACAGCTGACATTCTCCCCAAACTCCTCGTGGTTTTTTTCATCGCCTTGCTGTCAAGATGCATCGAGATGCAGAAAGCCTAGAAAATGCGGCAAGAAAAGTATAATGAAACGGAACAGACTTCCACATTCCATTATAACTCATATTGGCAAGTTCTCAGTTTCTATTAACTGCTTGCTTCTCTTAATATTCATTTATTTATATCAAATGGCAGGCGTTTTGATGGCTATCATTAGCCCTTTAGTTGACTTCACAGAGGGGAAGGAAGGGGCTTCACAGAGGGGAAGGAACATCAAAGTGAAAAAGTCGAGAGGGGGGGTGGGACAGAAGGGTGTTTCAAAGACAAGGGTAGAAAAGGTAGAAAAAGGGTGAGGTGAGTACTGTGAAAGTAGTCGAATATGACATGCAGTGGGGTGATGATAGTTTGAAGTCAGAAGTCAACTGCTGATTAATAGACTTTTTGGCCGTATGAGTATACGTTGCTCAGGGTGCACCGCGTGGAGGTAAGTCTATCGCACACCCCTTCTATAATTATCGCTTTGTAAGTGCTCACTTTCACTTTATTGTGCGTTTTGTTTATTCTTTACCGGGTGTTCAACTATCGCATGCAAGCTTCGTTTGTTTCGACTTAATTCAAGGCGTGACACTTTTGAATCGAGCAGGACAATCTGGGTTGGTTAATTTCACGGCTGAAGATAAGTGCAACACCTTTGTGTACCCAGAAGCTAACAGGAGGGCCCCAAATGTTTCCTGACATTTTTTTTAGCTAATGATAACTTACATTGCGTTTAGGGAAAATTACGCTTTCTCCTTTACGTTTATTTGAACTGCTCTCAATCGTCTCAATCGAAGGATATTGATTATCGTTAAGCACTCACTTTCTTTTGAAATGACTCAATTTTGCCAGCGAAATCCAACAAACGTCGTTAACCCGTCGAGGGCTATAGACATCTAGTTCTTCCCTCC